CTTTAAGACTTTTACTCAAGTAATAATTTTAGAGAAGACTTTAACTTTTACCAAAGTATTTTTATGATAAGATACTTGTACTTTTACTCAAGTATCACTTTGAGGTACTTTATACAACACTGTAAATAAACTAAAGAATTAGTCAACAATTCTTTACACTTAAATGAGCAGTGTATCAAACTTATAATAAAAGAAAAACCTGCAAATAATATTGCCCACAGTTGGCTTTTTATATTGTTGCAACCAAAGGAAACTAAGTTGTTAACAACAAAATTTCTGTGAATGTAATTAAAAAAGTAACCCCATTATATGAGTATGGTTATTTATAGAAACATCTCATATGTTTAATCTTGAATGAACTGTGTGACCAATGCTGGCAAAATAAGTTGGAATGAGTACAGACCGCAGTGCAAATTTTTTTTTTTTGATCTTTGAAGAACTTGCTGTGTGCATAAAAAAATAGTCCACAAGGACACCATCTAGCAATTTCAGTGACTAAAATAGCACATCATATTTCTAATCTACCTGTAAATAAGTAGTTTGGTCAGTGTTAGACATTAAGCCAGATTGATAAATCACTTAATGCTTGTCACTCCTTACAGAATTCAAATATCTACTCATTTTACATAATTAGTTAGAAATAAATTTCAATGTACTTTTGGACATAAACCAATACAAAAATGTCACACATATGTCTCAGTGTTTTTTATTCTAACCTGCTTTGTGCTCATGAGGTGGTGTAACCGATGCGCTTGGTAGATTTTGGCTGTCTGCTCTTTTACCATCTTCAGGTGCTCTCTCTCTTTTTCTTGGAAGTCCTGGATCTCATCAAGCTCTCTCCTACAAGAAACACAAAAAATAACGAAAAGTGTTCATTTAAATGGCCTACTTCTATTCAATAAATAGTTTTAAGTGTTAGAAATGGTTACAGAACATAAATTTAGAATTAGTGAAAAAATCAATTTAATGGAACAATTATTTATTTTAGTAATGATGTTCTACATTTCTAAAATGTATGTTTACTTTAATTTCACAATAGATACACAGTATATTATTGTTCTAACCTCATTCGATATAAAAAACATAAACCAAATAATAAAAACACCAACATAGAAATGATGTGATGAATAAATTACAGACAAAATCAGTCTTATCTTAAGCCCTGTCACATTTTAGACAACTTATGCAGACTTTTGAATTTTTTATGATTATTTTACTCATTTAATTGTTAGCCTTACAGTATGTATACATCTAAAAGAGGCTTCCTGTAGATTTTTTTAAAATTCAATCTTCAGCTAAGACATCTTTAGTGTTGGTCAAACTTTTATAAGTTGGCAAAAGTTGTCTAGAATATTTTTGTGTGACAGGGCCTTAAATTATGTAAAATCTAATGTACTAATGTAAAAAATGTTTACTATGCTCATACATGTCATGTACAGTGAGTTTGATTTGATATTTTTAGACTAAATTAACATGTTACATTACAAATTATCCAGAGATTTGGTTGATTTGTGCACAATGTAAACCCAATTTAAAATCATTTGTAAATGTCTAATAATTCCCCAAAGTGTCTTTTAAAGTAAAAACAAACAGTTATTGTAAGTGCCCATACAATGACAAAATATGTTCTCTGATTTTAACCCATCATTCATGTGGGATCCACACAGTGGAGCAGTGGGCAGCTGAGCCCAGGAAGCAGATAGGGATTCGGTGTCTTTGTCTAGGACATCAAAACATATGGGCATGGTGAAAAATCGAACCGACAACTTTTCAGTCACAGGACAGCTGACGTGTTGATGCTACAGCCACCCCCATTTTTTTAAAATAGGAGAAACAAGATGTGATAGATGTGATTCCCACATTTAGGGATTTCTCCAGAGTCTGTACAGCTGGCATGCAATGACTGAACCTTACCCTGGGTAAACCATATTTATGATCATGGCATCTCCCCTGCCAGGTTACAAACAACAATAAAAGGCAAATCACACTGACAGACATGAAAAGGCAAATAAAGTGTGGGATAAAAACAAGCGAATGAGACTGCTTGGCAGCGTGCACAAACACACACAAAAAGAAGAAAGCATGAGAGGATATAAGTGGGAGGATGATGGATATATTTCATCACCACAGCCAGGACAGGCATGTCTGTGACATCTGTTTAGCGAAGCTGGCTAAATGGGATGCATTAAAACCCCATACACAGTTATTTCATTCCACAATCACACGGCCTTATTGTTACACGGGAGTTATAATTTAAAAGGGGAATTGGAAACAATTACTAAAACACACACACCATGATAATTTGAAGAGACGCCGACAAAGCTAAGAGTAAAACCAATTACTTCCACAAGCGCAATACTAATAAGAGTTTAGACATAGATCATCAACAATCCTGCATCCGTTTCCCCTTTTTTCCTATCCCGTCCTTTTCCCTCTAATTCCTCTCTGCTGTTTCTTTCCGAACCCAACTTCTGTTTTCAATTACAAGCTTCCACACCGGTATCAGGATATTCAAAGTGTGTCTGTAATGTGAGGTTAACACATTCTGCTGCAGCTGACATTTAAAAAGGAATTACAATGCGGTCCCATTGCCTTTGCATTCTCATTCCTTCCAGAGCACCAGATTAAATTACAAAATAAATGAAATATGCAGAGCTTTGTGTGTGCATGGGTGCAGTAAGGAGAGGAGCAAGTCTGAAGGTGTGTGTTTATGTAATATTAAGCACAATTTAATACAGTGAAGTCATATGCGAGAGTATAAATATTGAGGTTACCTGGCCTCTATTTGTCTATCTAGCTAACAGGGATATTACTTATTAATGTAAAATATAAACTTGTGGTTTACTGTGAGACCCTTTAGTTCACAAACCAACTGGTGCATGTGTGTGTACTTCTGTTCACATATGCATTAAAATTTCCTCACAGAACACTAATGTGTCATACTGAATGTGTGTACATATATCTGTCCGTGTGCGTGTGTGTTTGTTGTTGGTCGAGCTGAATAGGTGACCTTTGCTTCCCTGCCCCCACTCCCAGTGTTATTAATTGCTGTGTAGTGGACAAAAGCCAAACAGATTTGTAACGTCTGAAGGCACCTCGATCTGTGTCGACCCAACCAGCCGCCACAACATACAACCCTCATTAGCCCTGTTTGGCAAGCGGCACATGCCCTGTGTGTGTGTGTGTGTGTGTGTGTGTGTGTGTGTGTG